GGTTCTAGGCCGCTGGGCCCGGGGCCGGCGGAGGTTGGTCTAGGTCCTCCGCTTGTTACCCGTCACTAGCTCAGTGCTCCCCAGTGCGCTCTGTCTCGGTTGTGCAAAAGCGAATTTCTCACTCTGTAAAACCGAACAAGAAGTGAATAGCTTTGGGCTTTTGTTGTTGACCAAACTGCACCAGAAGTGCTTCTGGAAACGAGCCTGCAAAACCGTTGTTATGGAACGGGGGTTGGGGTCGGGGTGAGGAGTGGGGTGAGAGACCTGGCCTCAACACAGATTGTGCAGAGTCTCTGTGTGCATGATCACAGCGGCCAGTTTCACAGTGCCACGTGTCCAGATGTGGACTGTTGATGATGCCATGACACTTGTGAGTCTGCAACCTGTCTGGCCCATTTGGGGGGGTAGGGTGCGGCATGCAAACTCTGATGTAAAATTTCCATCATTCTGTAGAGAAACAAAACAATTGGTGCAATAACGATCCAAGTTTGTATGTGCTGAGCCTTCCCTCGCATGGGGACCACCTGCTGCTGCCTCACGTGCAGGTGGACCGCCTCATGCACAGACTGACATCCGGGAGCCCCGCACTCTGGCTGGAGTAAGACTGAGACTGGAACGGGAGTTGCTGACCCTGGTCGACAGATGTCAGTGACGGCGTCCATGTGGAAAACACCCAGAGGACCATGAAAGAAGCAGTAACCGGCCCCGGCCCCGGCGAAGCTGCCCGGCTGCGCCCTGTGGACCCCGCCTCACCCCTGGAGGACCCAGGACCCCTAGCCTCCGTGACCACCATCGTGCGTGTACAACTCACGTCGGGTTCACGGCTCAGCTGTTCTCTGTACCCTTCCACTTTCTAAGTCTGGGTTCTGAGGTCCCCTCGGCCCTGCCCCCATGGACCCCACTGGGGCACAGGAGTCTGTTTGCTTGGGGACATCTTCCCCAGTGGCCGGCGTCCGTCCAGATGAACAACCAGTTTTCCAGACCCATCTTTGGGTTCTCTGTGAAGTTGAATAAACCTGAGCGTTACCACACCTCGGACCATCTGTGGTTTTCAGTCGCTGGTCTGTGAGGTGGTGAGTGGCACACACAGAGGAAGTCACGTGTCGGTGATTTTAGAACTGGACATCTGTTTTCTAGAAGGTTTTCCCGGTAGCTTTTCTCGTGTTTTATTTATTTACTTTGGTGATAGGAGCTGACAAAGTCCCGGTTACATTAAAGAATTGCATAACTAAAAATAGTGATCCACATTATAAACCAACAGCCCCATCACACCCCCACCCCCAAAACACACACACACACACACACACACAACTTGGTTGCCGGTGGCAGTTTTTAAAATCTATTCAGCGAACATTTATTGACGTCCCTGGTGGGCCGGGCTACTTTGAGACAAAGGATGGAGTGTGATCTAGAACCCCCACTCCAAGGGGAATATTAAACATTAAATATTAACAGCAGGTTGTGAAGTTTGGTAAAGTTAGAAGGAGGAGGAAAAAAGCCAGGAGAGAGAGAGGGGACTGAGGGAGAAGCTACCTTCCCGCCGTGTCGTTCCCTGTGTAAAGTCGGATTGCTCTGCTGTTGATGAGGTGACACCTACACACCGACTAGCTGTGGCGGCATTGAACCCCTACTGTGCGCTCCCTCGGCGAGCGTAACAGCCACCAGCCTCGTCCGTGTGATAAAGCTTCTGCTGGCCCAGGCGCGCTTAGCAGTTACTCCATGAGACAAGACGAAGCTGTCTGCTCTCGTGAACACTGACCCCCAGAAACCCTGTGCATGGGGTCACCGCGCGTCTGCTCGCAGTACCTCTTCAGTTGTGTCTGCTGCCAGCACCCCGCCGCACCCTCTTCCCCAGGAGCTGCGCTTGGCTGTAGGGTCGGGAGGGGGCGGTTGGACACTTTAAAGGTTGGTGTGCTGCGTTGTATTTTCCGTCAGGCCGCCAGCTGACCTTCTTGAGCTTTTTAGGTAATCTTTTCCCCTCAGCCGCTTTTAGGATTCTCTGGCCACCTTCTGAATTTAGTAGTTTGGCTGCACTGTGCCTCACCCTGGTTTTATTGCCCCCGTGCTGCTCGGAGCCCACCGAGCTCCAGTCTGGCTCAGTCCACTTCCCCTTCAGCTGGGGGACTCCTTGGCCGTCTTCCCTTCGCACACTGACGTCGCCTGCCACCTGC